TTAGGCTGATCCTGTCTCTTTAACACACAGCCCGGCTTTATCTACTTTATGAAAACAACCTTTTTTACATCTTAAAAAAGTTGTCCTTGTTCCACCTCCTGTAGTTTTTACAGCATTGATCACATTTACCCAGCCCTGCGTCTTGAAGCAGACCACCAGCCCCAGGAAGACAGGAGATGTGTTATTTTCGTCTTTCTTTCCCTTAGAGTGTAGCAGTGACTCAAATGGACAGGAAGCCTATCTAATTTTTTATATTTACATTTTTCATGACTCTTCACTTTGCCTGTAAGGGAAATGCTGTAGACAGCCTCTAAGACGACTTCTAATAAACTTGGCCTCCCATGTGTTTGCTCCTGTCTAAAAATCCACCTGCAGTCGGGAGACCGGAGCTGGAAAGATCCCCTGGAGAAGGAAACGGCAAAACCCGCTCCAATATTCTTGCCTGGAAAATCCCAGGGACAGAGGAGCATGGCAGGGTGCAGTCCATGGGGTCGCAAGAGTCAGACTTAGCGGCTAAACCAGCAACGTTCCTCGCCTTGTTGGCCTGGGTACTGGCGAGGCAGCGCAGGTGGGGTTTGGGTTAGGCTGTCCTTCACGCTGTGCGCATCTGGTCATGCGCTTCAGTGTTTCCACCCCACTCACTGAGTAACGTCCAAAGTCCGTAGTGTGGCCTAACGAGCCCTTCACAGGACAGGTTTCTGACTCCTCCATCCAGCCTGACTCCTGGCTGCTCCCCCCAGGGCAGATCCCAGGCTTTGTCATTCAAATGCTTGCGACTCCTGCAAGGTTTTCGGCCAAGGGATAGAAGGCAGTTTCTCTCTTAGGCTGATCCTGTCTCTTTAACACACAGCCCGGCTTTATCTACTTTATGAAAACAACGTTTTTTACATCTTAAAAAAGTTCTCCTTGTTCCACCTCCTGTAGTTTTTACAGCATTGATCACATTTACCCAGCCCTACCTCTTGAAGCAGACCACCAGCCCCAGGAAGACAGGAGATGTGTTATTTTTGTCTTTCTTTCCCTTAGAGTATAGCAGTGACTCAAATAGACAGGAAGCCTATCTAATTTTTTATATTAAATTTTTAATGACTCTTCACTTTGCCTGTAAGGGAAATGCTGTAGACAGCCTCTAAGACGACTTCTAATAAACTTGGCCTCCCATGTGTTTGCTCCTGTCTAATCCCTCCACTTGGCCCGAACTCACTGACTCACTTCCAATGAAGATAATGCAGCGGACGCGATGGAACGGCTCTTCCGAGGTTATTTTACAAAAAGACTCTGCCTCCCATCCTGGTCTTGCCCTTGCTCTGTCCAATTTGCCCTGAGGACAGTCAGATACAGAGAGGCCCACGTGGTAAGGAGCTGGAGAAGGATCTGGCTAACAGAGAGGGCGTAAGGCCCTCGGTCCGGCACCCTGCAAGGATCTGAAATTCGGCCATTCATGGTGTTGTAACTGAGCTTAAACGCAAACTCCCCCCATGCAAGACTTCAGAGGAGACTGCGGTTTCAGCTGACATACAGACTGCCCCTCACGAGAGTCCTTAACCCAGAGGCACCCGGCCAAACTATGCCCGCATTCCTCACCCATAGAGACTGGGAGAGGAGAAATGCTTCTTGTTTTAAACCTCTAAGGTATGCAGGAATCTGTTATATAACAAAATGCAACTAATGCAGGGAGTAAAGCATTACACTAAATTACACACTCTAAATTACATGGTAGGTAGTATGCTGTGAGTTGGTTTGGGTATATAACAAAATAGTTTAATCTAGGCTTTACTCTGTCTGTGTGCTTGATGAAAAAAACAAACAAAAAAAAAAACAAAAAAACTCTTCTCTGCTTCCATGACAAAATACCACTAACTGACTAGCTTAAAGAATAGATATTTATTTCCCACAGTTTTAGAGACTGAGAAGGCTAAGGTCAAGGTGGTGGCCCATTCAGTTCATGGTGAGGACTCCCTTCCCGTCTTGCAGATCAATGCCTGATATCTCAGTTTACTCAGATGCAGGGAGAGACGGGAAGCTCTCTAACATCTCTTCTTGTAAGAACACTAGTCACACTGAATCAGAGCCCCACTTTTAGGGCCTCATTCAACCTTAGTAATTTCCTTTTAGGTCCTGTGTCCACATATAGTCACATAGGAAGTTAAGACTTCAACGTATGAAATTTGACGGGATAAGATTCAGATCATTGCCCTCTGCTTTTCGAAACTTTGTACTTTTTCTTTATTGTTATTTACTTAATCCTCCAAATACAAAAGAATTGTTAAAGTATCTGGGAATAAAACAGGGGAAAAAGCAGGAACCTATTCCTGTTCCAGTTAATGGTAAATTAGTATATATTGACTAATCTTTCTACAGATAATAATCATAAATTCTGAAGAAAAAGAAATATTTGAAGCTATTTAAAAGCACAGGAGAGTGGATGAAAGTGCAGAAACGAGAAGATTTGAGCCTTGAAAGAAAGTAAGAGGTCCAGGTTTATATGCTCTTTACCCCCAAGAAGATGTCTTGGTCAGTTGTGAATATAAGGCTTCTATAATTCAAAGAGAAAGTGGAATTCTCACTGATCTGATGGTTGAGGGACAGAATGTAGGCTGCCAAAGAAGCTTCAACTTGTGAACCTGGGAAAGGGGTGGTCACAAAATATATGTATCCAGAATACATAAATAATCCCTCATGCCTATTGTTGGAGAAACAAATCATCCAATAAAAAGCAAGGGGAGAAACTTTCCCATAACCTGACTTCAACTTCCAGTGTAGGAGATGTAGGCTTGATTCCTGATCAGGAAGCGAAGAAACCACATCCCTTATGGCCAGAAAACCAAAAAATAAAAATCAGAAGCAATATGGTAACAAATTCAATAAAGACTTAAAAAAAAAACTGTGGAAAAAAGATTTGAGATACACTCAAAACATGATACTACACATAAAAGATCTGTGTGTTTCACTGTATGTAATTTTTACAAAATTTTCAAAAAGAGAAATGCAAGGCATACACTATTCCTATTCACAGGGAGCTTATATTTTGACTAACGTGATTTTATTTGCCTAAATCAGTTTAGGAGGGAGATTTGAATATGAGAGGGACAGAATCTAGAATGGTAGGGTGTAGAATAAAAAAGATTGGAGTGTAGGCAAATAGATGCAGTTCATCTCAAAAAAGCAACTGAAATACTTAGCAAGGCATTTGCCACTGTGAGGTATTACTGCCTGGTTATAGGGAGTGAGATGCTTTACCAGATTCTGATCACAGTCATCAGCTTCATGTAGCTTTTATTCCAAGGCTTGGGTTTAGTCTTGCAGACAGGAAAGGAGATGACAGTTTTCCTTCACTATCTGAAAGAGTATTACTGTGAAACTTTTCTTTTGCCAAAATAGCATAAAGCAAAAAGGCAATTAACCTTGAACACATCTTGCCAACAGATGCACAAAATTAATCAAGATAAATAAAGCAAGATGCTCACAGACACAGTTCAAAGCTATGGCAGCTTAATGTGGATGCTGAAGGCAGTTCCTGGGGAAAGAGCTTGGTGGAGCCACTCCTGCCGGATCTGGGTGCTCACTGCTTCTAAAACAGGCCCACTGCAAACCAAATGCTCAGTGATAATGCTCTTGTTTCCATAAAAGCAAAAATCCTTTTCGGATTTCGTTCTGTTAAGGAAAACAGGTTCTGATGTAGGTCTTTCCTAAAAGCAAAGTGGCAGAAAGTGAAGTGGGGATATGTGTACATGCCTTTCCCAAATGGATATGCTCACTGGTACAGCAAAGATGAGAAAGAGTAAAAGCTTAGACGCAGCAGGAAGAAGAATTTTATCATGGACGCTGGTTAGATTCACTGGTGCATGAGAACAACAAGATTGGGCTGATTTTAAGTCAATTTTATTGTTATTTTTAAGTTCTCCGGAATAACAACGCACCCCTTATTGCCTGCGGGGAGATGGATGCTCCCGCTGTTCATTTCCCTCTGCTGAAACACTGGATGTCGCCATTTGTTGGACCAAGTTACCTTAAAGATAGGACACGTGTTCACCTAGCAGCCTTGGTTCCCAAGTCCCTAGTGAGTCTGGATTCTTTTGCTCCACTCTCCTCTGTTCGCATCATAGAAAGAACGTAAAACGTAGACTCAAGAGGCCTAGGAGTGACAGCCCTGCTTTTGGCTCATAATCACAGTGTAAGTGAGGTGAGTATATGGGGCAAGCCCACGCTCTCCTTTGAAATTTAAATGGAATTGCACAAGCTACCTAACCCACGATTCTGTGATTTTTCTGAATCCCCCTGGGTTTAGTTCCTCATAATTACCTCTGGCCTTGAGTTACCACTTCTCCACTTATTCCAATCTTGTCGTACTCAAACTTGATCTCTTCACTATCTTCTCTCTGACTCAGGTGTAGAACACATCTTTTCCCAGATTTCACCAAACCCACTCATTCCATGCAATTATTATGTGAAGAAGACTGGAAAACTATGGTCAGGGAAGTTCATCGTCCAAGAACACACCCAGTTAAAACAATCCAAGACCACACTGCTGCTCAGAAGCATTTTTTTTTTTTTTAAGCCCATGCTCTCCTTTGAAATTTAAATGGAATTGCACAAGCTACCTAACCCACGATTCTGTGATTTTTCTGAATCCCCCTGGGTTTAGTTCCTCGTAATTACCCCTGGCTTTGAGTTACCACTTCTCCACTTATTTCAATCTTGTCTTACTCAAACTTGATCTCTTCACTATCTTCTCTCTGACTCAGGTGTAGAACACATCTTTTCCCAGATTTCACCAAACCCACTCATTCCGTGCAATTATTATGTGTAGAGGACTGGAAAACTATGGTCAGGGAAGTTCATCGTCCAAGAACACACCCAGTTAAAACAATCCAAGACCACACTGCTGCTCCGCAGCATTTTTTTTTTTTTTCATCCAGTACCAGCTCAAAGCATGATCTCTGGTTCTTTCTTTCTCAAACTCTCTTCCTAGTCAGTCTACCTTTGATCTCCAAGGATTCATTTGTGGGATTTTCTAAGCAGAGGTGCATCTTCTCTGGATCTTAAACAGCCAAGGAAAATAATCAGAAACTAGACATTCTATTGTGTGTTTTCTCTGTCCCTCATGACACTCTGAAATAAAAGAGATGAAGATATGTTCCCCCATTGGTATGGTTTGTGTCATCCCTCAGAATCAAAAGGCTTTAATAATTAGCTTTTAAAAAAAAATGCTTTTCCCTACCCTATATCTTAAAAAAAAAAAGCACATTAAAAGGCATTTAATTAACTTTTGTTTTCATTCTTTCTTTAATAACTATTGGTCAAATGACTTAATCTCCTTTAGTCTTAGTACCAATTTTGACAACATTCAACATTTTTTTGAGCCCATATTGTATATCAGAAAAAAAATGATAAAATGGTAAATAAGGTAACCTCGTAATTTAAGTTACTTATTTCTCACTATAATACACACTAACTGGCCTTACTAGATACAGATAAATATGACTCTGTCTCCATATGTGTGTCCTAGAATGTTCTCTCATACTATTTATGCATACAGGAGTCTAATGTTATCTACCTCATAAAAAGTCTTTCATTTTCCATTTTGAAATTTTGTTTCTGAATTTACATAGCCCTTGTGTTTTTTTCATGCATGTCCATAGTTAACCATTTTCCCCAAATCTTGCACCTCCTTTTCAATTAATGGTAAATTGATGAAAATATTTCCATTTGATTTTGTTGTACTCCTCACATATTTTTGTATTCCTTTTTGGATCTGCTATAATGCTTTCCCCTTTTAGATATTCAGCAAATATTTGTAGAAATGATACATTTCAGTAGACATTGGCATTTTATCATGTTTTCCCAATTGGAATTTAAGAATCTTCTTTGACTGTGTACCTGTTACTTAGTACACCTTTTGAACCAAATTTCACATTTTTTTTTCATAGTATACTTGGTATATTTAAAATTCTACTCTTACCCTGTTTCACCAATAAATCAAATATTCAATCCTTTCCTGTCCTATCTTGGTAATCTTAAAAATATTTTCTGGAAATTCATTTTAGATTCAGTGGCCCAATAATTTTCCTCTTGCTCTCTTAAAAGCCTCAACCACGTCCTTGAAACAATTCATTTTCTCCTCAGCCTTGCATTAAGAAAAAGGAATGCTTTCCCTTAGCTTCCTAGACATCAGTCTCAGCTATTAAATGAAATACTGTTATCTATTCTTTTTAGCACTAATGTAACCCACACATTAAGATATCTGTTTTGCTAATTAATTTTTAGGTTTGTTTTTATCTCTTTTACATTTCACTCTCCAAGCAGAGAGGAAGGAAAAGAGGAGAGTTAACTGTGAAGATTGTGGTAGAAATATGAAGTATGGTAACCATTACTTTTAAAAACTTGCAGGAAGGATAACGGTATGTACTGGATTATTATGTTTTTTCTAAATGCAGATAATGTTAAATAGTTGCAGGGTTATCTTGATCATATTTTGGAATACATATGTATGAATATGATAATGGCTCAAAAATATATTAATTGATGGCATTTCTGAAGAAGTCATCTGAATTGATAAAAATGGCATCAGTATAAATCTGATCAAACACAAAAGGGTATGCAACTTCTCAGAAAATATTTAGTGGTGAATAACCGCAAATTCCCTATGTATTTTGTAGCCATTGAAATATAAGAGCAACATTAGGGGAGGAAAGTGATGCCAAAAATTGGAAGGTAACTTGCAATAATCTTCATGGGAGTGGTTTATATCAATCAATTCATGTGGTTTTATATAAGTATCAGACTCCCTTACATCCAATTAGAATTTCCCAGAAATTTCACGGTTGCTTTTCCACAAGGAAAAAGAATACTTCTATGCTTTCCTGATTCTGGAAATATAGCAATCGCGTATCCTGGATTATACCGAAGTGACTCACTTAGCGCGCACGCACACTGAGTCGCTCTGGTAGTGTCTGACCCTCTGTGACTCTGCGGACGGCAGCCCACCAGGCTCCTCGGGCCTCAGGATTCTCCTGCTAAGGACAGTGCAGCGGGTTCCCATACCTTCCTTCAGGGGGTCTCCACGATCCAGGGGTTGAATCTCTGTCTCTCTTGCCTCCTGCGTTGCCTGGTGTACTCCTTACCACTAGTGTCACACCATGTCTATTTTAAAAAACCTTTCCCATAGCTGGATCTTGTATCAAAATGCATTCCCCAACACATAAATCTGAAAAAAAAAAAAAACCTAGAAATTTCAGAACTATTCTTTTATTCTGGTGTTTAAATTTAAGTTTTTCTTAGAGGCAACCCTTTCTTCTCTGATAACTGAACACTATGCTAGTTTTATTAGAGAAGTAGAATTGGCTGACTGAAATAAAACTTTACCTCTAAGTCTGGAAAGATCAGAATTGATCCTGTAACCTACAGACTAATCCATCAACTGCTCAATGATCAGATTCTGTCTCTCTAAGATGAATAAAGAGACACAGAGGGAGTAATACAAAGGTCTAGGGTACGTGAAATGAAAATTCATTTAAGGTCATGCACAATGATCAGAAGCAAACTGGTCTCTTCTGGCTTGAAGAATGGAACAAACATGAAGCCCCTAGGTGGCATTTCAGGGGGCTCCGATGAACTCTGTTTCTTCATGTCTCAGTTTGGAAGAAAGTCGGCACAAGGCAAAATGATAGATAAGTCATTTAGTAGAATAGGACACTTGTAAGGCTCACAAGTGGGCAGGTGAGGGAGTTCTGTGCCCTGAGAACTAAGTGAGCTACAGTTTTATAATCCAAGGAAGAGTGAGGAGGGGGAAAGACCATCTTTGTCCTCATTTCTGCAGTAGAACATCATGCTTCCATCATCAGCTCCCCCTCTATGTCAGACGGTCCCTAAATGGCCAAGGCAGGACGATCGCAGCACTAAGGAAAAATTATTTCGGGTCTCAGGGCAATGAGGGTCTTTCCCTTTAAAATGTCACTTTTCCATAAATTACTGTTTTTTTTAACGTATGCAGGGAGCTTCCCTGGTAAGTCAGCCGGTAATGAATCTGCCTGCAATGTGGGAGACCTGGGTTTGACCCCTGGATTGGGACAACCCCCTGGAGGAGGGCATGGCAACCCTCTCCAGCATTCTTGCCTGGAGAATCCCCAGGGACAGAGCAACCTGCAGGCTATGGTTCATGGGGTCGCAAAGAGCTGGACGTGACTGAACAACTAAGCATAGCCCAGCCCAACACATGTATGCAGAGAGCACATCTTAGGAGTCATTACATTATTCAGTTCACTGGGCAAGATGTGGGTCTCATACCACCATTATTTATTCTTTTGGGGGGCAAGATGTGGGTCTCACACCACCATTATTTATTCTTTTGGAGGCGTGTCTCATGCTCCTGTTGCATAGCTTTGTTGCTAAGCAAGTCTGCTTGGTTTTGTGGTTCAGTGAACCTGTTTTCTTGAATGCTCATTAATTTACAGGAGTCTCCCATATTTTCTCTTTACTTACAATCCCTTAGTGGGGTTAGCTATTTAATCACTTACTTTGTCCTTTCACTCTGTCCGTGTTAGACATTTAAAGAGAAGTCCTGGCCCCAAAGGTCCTCAATTTCTCAAAGGTTGTCTCCCATGGGGACTGGCTAAGACTTGCTTCTTTATTCTTCTGTACAGCTTTCTTCTTCAGCCTGCCTACAGGGGGCCTTGGGGCTTCCCTGGTGGTTCAGTGGTAAAGAGCCTGCCTGCAATGCAGGAGACATCAGTTTGATCCTTGGGTCAGGAAGATCCCCTGGAGAAGGAAATGGCAATCCACTTCATGTTTTTGTCTGGGAAATCACACGGACAGGACCCTGGCAGGCCGCAGTCCATGGGTCACAAAAGAGTCAGACGTGACTTAGCAACTAAACAACAATAACAAAGGGGTCCTTTATTACCCACACGTTGACTAGAACACTGGTGTTTGAGCGATGAGCTGCTGCTTAGGAAAACATTGTGTAACTGAGGCAGATTTCTAGGTCATTCCACTTAAAGTATATTTTAGGGGGAGATACTCCATGGGAGATTCATTATTTTCATTTCTTAAAAATATTACTTTTCTACCATGGAAACATTCATCTTCCCTTGTAGCTCAGTCGGTAGAGTCTGCCTGCCGTGCAGGAGACCTGGGTTGGATCCCTGGGTCGGGAAGATCCCCTGGAGAAGGAAACGGCAACCCTCTCCAGTATTCTTGCCTGGAGAATCCCATGGACAGAGGAGCCTGGCAGGCTACGGTCCATGGGGTCACAAGAGTAAGACACGACTGAGCGACTCAGCCACCACCACATGGGAACATTTCATCCAAAGATGGGCAAAATAAAGGACAGAAACTGCGTGAACCTGACAGAAGCAGGAGAAGAGGTGACAAGAATTCTTTAAATAGAACTTTCTTTAAATATTATTCCCTTAAAAAATTGGAAAGATCATTCAAATTTGTGACTATTTTAATGAGTCAAAGAGTGCAAGGAACAGTCTAAACATAGTCTCTTGTCTTCGCTTTCAATAGACTAGCCATGTGGCTACAAGTCGTAAGTTTGGCAAGTCACTTCCTTTCAGCAATCAAGAGATGCAAGGTTCAGTTCCTTCATCCAAAAGCAAAGAGGTTAAATTAGAGGTCATCAAAGATTTCTTCAAGCATAAGAAAAAGTTGTGATTTCTATATTCCTAGGAAGTGATGCCCAAGAAAAATTAAAAATGGCCACAGTTAGGTATTTTTTAAGCTTTCAATTAACTTGCTCAGCTGTGAGCACTGTGATAAAATTGCAGTGTAATTGTGATTAATGTTGTAATCGTTATGATAATTTTTATCATAACAAATCAGGAGGAGATATCCCACAGCTACAAAGGCAACAATACAGTACAGATGGCTGCTAATATTAACGCTTTTCATTTATATAGAGTTTTACAGCTTAAGAAAATATTTTATGTGCATTTTCTCATTTGATCTCACACCTACTCTGTGAAATATGCCTTGATAAAATATGCTCTCAGAAACTTTAAGATGGAATCATGGAGGCTAACAGAAAGATGATTTTCAAGTTAGGGGAGAATTAGTACAATTTATAAGGCCAATAAAATTATAATTCCCAACATTTTAAATGGATATGTAGGTCACAAATCACTTTAGAATCTGAAGAGACCTATGAATCTCTACCCAAAGCATGTACATACCTACAACTATTGACACTATAGAACCTCTAGGTGTTCATGAATCCTTTGTTATTTACCTTGGTTCTATTTCAGAATACTGTGAAATTTGAGAACTCATCAAAGGGAAAAGTAAAATAAATTTTTCTTTAAGTCTATACATGTAGGTAGAAGAAGAAAAGATATTTAGGTAGTAAGATATTTAGAAGAAAAAAAGGATATTTAAGTGTAGGTAAAGAAGAAAGGGTATTTTATATTTACTGAGTTATGCTTACATGTGAAATATTTTACATTTTTATCCTATTTAATTCTATTAATAGCCCTAAAAGTAGAAATTATCTTCAATTTAAAGCTAAGGTCAGAGAGGTCTACACACAATTAGAAAGCAACAGGAGGAATTTAAATGTAAATGGTTAAGCTCTGCACAAAGGATAAATTTAAACTTAAAAAAAAAAAAAACTTTAAGAGAATTTAACCTGAGGAAGAGTCTCTGGTCCTTATAAAGGATGTATTCTTTCTGTTACAACATATTGGTTAGCATGTTACTGCATTGTTCAGGAGAAGAAAATAACCATTTTTTTTGACTGCCTTTGTAAATAGTTGAGCTCAAGTGTTTACATAACTGACTTCGCACAACTCCACCTTTAAGTTCTAAACAAGAAGTGAGGAGAGACCGTGTGGTGCATGAAGAAGTGATGATGTCACATTATATTCAAGAAATTATTTACATTGTGAAGATACATTTGAGGGGAACAGAGCAGACTAGAGGTATCGCAAGACTAGATGTAAGCACACATCAGGCAAACAGGAAAGATGCTTTATCAGTGACGCCAGAAGCAGTGAAAAGAGTGCCTGTCAGAGGGATGCGGGACTGCAGGGAGAAGGGTGAATCACAGCTGTGACCCGTCCTCAGGTGTGTAAGCCCTGCCTCGGGGCTGGATGCCCCCTCCCGTACTGAGGAGGATCACTTCCTGGTTCTGCTTAGAGATACACCCTCACCATGGCCACATTTTGCCAAGGCGGTGATCCACGGGCAGAGCCCTACTATGCATTTACTGGGCCGTTCTTCTAATTCCTACCCTCCCCAGTACTGGCGGACCCCAAACCATCGGCCTTCAGGGGTAGTCTGTAGCAGCTGATCAGTGAAAACGGACCACTTGAGCTCTCTGGGTCCTTGCTTCTCTTCAGCTCGCCCACCTGCCAAAGAACGGAACCCAGCACCATTCAAGGAGCTTCCAGCAAAAGACTCCTCCAGACTGACTTCCATGGGAGCCTCTCCTGGGAATTTACTGCGGCCACTGCCGGAGAAAGAGATGGTCATTTCTCTGGAGACTGAGCTAGAAATCTCTTGTCTACCCATTTCTTTTTGCTTGTAGGTAACACGCTTTTCTCACATTCTCCATGAGAATACCACATGACGGTGCAATACGGACACCTGTCAGAATCATTGGAAAGCTTTTACACATATTGATTCCAGGACACAGTTCTTACGACTGCCGATACGGTGAATCTGAGGAGAGATCCAGAAATCTGCCTATTTATCCATGCATCTATCTATCGTTCCATCTGCTGACCTCCCTAGGTGACTCTGGCCATCAGTCTGGAGTATCTCTGGACTAAAAAACATGCAGGGTCAGATCCACAGTTCACTGCTTTTATTTGGATATCACCAAGAAACAAATACTCAAAAAATAATTCAGAGTCTTAAATATGTTAGAATACATTTTAGGATGCCTAACAATTTTTATTAGGGAAGCTTCAAATGAAAACTGCATGATCTTTGGAGAAAGATGTAAATGCACAATCTTATTATTCAAGTTTGGCACCAATTGCATCTGCCAAAAAAGGCTTTAATTAACAGACCCACCTCTGGGCTTAAGTTTTTCTTTCCCAGCCCCAGGCTGAACTTTCCCTCTTGGTGTCATGACAGCCAGGAAACAAGGCAGTCTCCTCTTTGAAACTCTGATTGATACCCAGAGCTTCATGTCTAAATTGCTCTTCTCAAAGTCACTTGAACTATGACCCAATCAGATTTTTCTGCTTTAATCACAATCTCAGTGAGCACATCCCAGATTTACCTCTATTCTTAATTATCTTTTTTAATAATGAGCTTAACTTTATTCATATCCTTTTATAGCTCCTACTTACCTGGTAGGTGGTACTGTAATAGATTCTCCTTTCAGTTACATTGCCTCAAGATCACAATTTCCTTTGGCATTATCAGAGTTACTCCCATACATTTTTTATTTTTATCATATGATACCTGTTAAACAGGGGCAGTCCAACTTGATTGTAAGAAGGTGTAGTTTCTACAAGCCTATAAAGTGTAAAGAGATTGCTGTGCTTCTTAATTTAAGAATGGTTGTGTGGCAAATGGGGTTTCTCAGGCGGCATTGGTTGTAAAGAGCCCATCTGCTAATTCAGGAAACACAGGAGACTCAGGTTCAATCCCTGGGTTGGGAGGATCCCCTGGAGGAGCTCATGGCAACCCACTCCAGTATTCTCATGAGCAGAGGAACCTGGAGGTTCCTCTGGGTTCGAACAGAGGGTCGAAAAGAGTTGGACATGACTGAAGCGACTTAGCACCGCACCACACCATGTGGCAAACTGCACCACGGAACTTAGAAAATTCCAAATGGAAGCTAAAGAATGAGAAATCCAGAATTTGCAGGTTTAAGTTCTTGAGGATGAAGGAGATATGCAAAAGAATAGAGAACATCAAAGAAGTAAAAGAATAAAATGAAGAAAGTAAAATTTTAAAATCACTGACAGCATCGAAACTAAAATTAAAAAGAACAAATAATATCAGAATGCTAAAGATGCAGGTGGTGACTCTGTATCGCAGTTAATTCAATTTGGTTACCCCACCTTATGTTTATAAGATTCTGTCCACTCTGGATTCATATGTATTACCACATGGAGCGTCCTCATTTCCTTTGTGAGACTCAAATCTGCTATTTCCTGATCTAACACATTTACTTTAAATTGCCTTGCAATTCCCAGTGATTTCAACTTCAATTTAATGCTAGCAATAATTGACTTCTGGCTAATTCTGAGCTTCATTTACAGGAAAGAGATCAATATTGTGTGCTGTAGTTTCTGAGATCCACCTTGACAGTGCTCAGAGGAATCCAGACCTAGCATTTTCAAGACAGAAATCATAGGCTCTACTGAACACGTGAAGCAAAAGTCACAAGATAGAAACTAGAAGTCTGCTCAAATCTGTGAGTCTGAGACAAAGTCTGAGCAGTATTTCTGACCAGAAAAAAAAAAATCCAAAATATAATCTCCTACATTTTTCTTTATTTGATAATCATAATTCAAGGAAAGGAAGGCATATTTCACAGTGATTCAAAACAGTATATAGACTCTGTTCTCAGAGTTTGTGTGAAAAATAAATAATATTTTATATTAAAAAGCAAAATAAACAACACTCTATATTGTGTGTGTGCTCAGTCATTCAGTCCTGTCTGACTCCTTGTGACCAGGCTCCTCTCTTCATGGGATTTTCCAGGCAAGAATACTGGAGGGGGTTAACATTCCCTTCTCCAGGGAATCTTTCCAACTCAGGGATGGAACCCACAT